AGCCTTCCTGCTCCTCGGCCTGCAGTGTTCATCCATCTCTACACCTTGTTATATCAGTGAATCTCTACATGTTCTCTTTGTCTGCAAAACACAAGGCTCAGTATATTAACATATGTAGCTTCCATAACACACAACTGTGCCACATTACAAGGCTGACTGACTTTGCAGAAACAAGAGAAAGAACATCTAGACACACTGCACCTGTTTCAACAAAACAAAACAAGACAGGAGACAGGCAAACTTGGAAAGAACAGTCCAAATTAATTTTGGAACAGTTGATTATTTTCTCATTTGATATTGCCACCCAACCCACCACCACATGGCTATTTACTTCATAACAGCAGCCAAGTCCAAGTAACCTCTTCACTAGTCTCAAGTCAGGAAGTTCCAGGCTCACATATTTATTCCTGATGAACAGATTTATTTGGATTGAATCAGTTGGAACTACACTGCAACCAAGATTCAACACATTCAAAAGTCATTTTGAGTTAACACCATGTAAATGACTGGAGTCATATTCCCCAACAGTGATTGTCCATCCCTAAATCGCAGAGGAGAAAGTGATGGGGAGCTGCCTTTTTGAACTACTGCAGTCCTTGTACATAGGGAAGGCCACAGCGCTGTTAGGGCACAAGTGGCAGGATTTTGATCCAGGAACAGTGTTATATTTCCAAGTCAGGATGGGGAGTGGCTTGGAGTAGAACTTGCAGGTGGTGGTGTTCTCACTTATTTGCTGCCCTTGGCCTTCACAATGCTAGAGGTCTCAGGTTTGGAAGGTGGTCTCAGGAGCATTGGTGAAGTCCTGCAGTGCATCTCTTACATCCATTGCTTCTCAAATCACAGCTCTGCAATCAGTTCCCACTCTCACTCTCTGAGACAGCTGACTGACATTTTTTTAAACCCCCTGTATGTATTGCGAGCCCGTTGATCAGAATATATATTGTCAATATATAAATACATTATTTACAAGAAATCAGTGTTGGAAACCTACCAAGCAGTGAAGATTTCCCATTCTTGTAGTCCCACAGAATAGAGGGTTTAATGAACTCAAAGACCCAGACAATGTGGTGGGCTGTAGAAGGTTGTCTCACACTCTGATATCTGCCAGATCTTAATCTCCAATCTCCACTCACTAGGATTGCCTGGGACAACTTTCAAACCTGGGCTCTAACTCAGACTCACTCAGCCAACAGCTCCACCCAAAAGCTCCAGCTGCAGGTGATATGTTACCCTCTATCCTCAGGTCCTACCAAAAAGGCTTTTGAGATATACCTCAATGCAAACTGTTCAATAAAAGTAGAACCCATGGTATCCAAGGCAAAATAGTACATTGGATCCAAACTTGACTGAAAGGCAGGAAGCAGAGTGTGATGGTACACAGGGATATTTCTGTGAGTGGAAGCCTGTTTTTAGTGGGGTTCCTGAGGGCACTTGCTGTGTGTGGTTAACATTAATGATTTGGACTTAAATGGAGGGGTATGATCAAAATGTTTATGGATGACAAAAGATTGATAGGATGATAAATAGTAGGGAGGATAACTAAACTGCAGGAGGATATCAACAGACTGGTCAGGTGGGCAGAGTAGTGGACAAATGGAAAGAAACCTGGAAAAATGAGGGACAATACTGTTAGTGAGAGCTAACAAGGCAAGGGATTACACTGTAAATGGTAGGACCCTGGAAAGTACTGAAGATCAATGGGACCTTGGTGTGCATTTCCATAGATCCCTGAATGTTGCAGGGCAGGTAGTTAAAAGGTGGGTTAGAAGGTATATTGAATACCTTGAATGTGTCTCTCACATTTCCCGCAACTCATCCCTCACACCCCCTCCCCGCAAGAACAACCAAAACAGAATCCCCCTTGTCCTCACCTAACACCCCACCAACCTCCGGATCCAACGCATCATCCTCCGGCACTTCTGCCATCTGCAATCTGACCCCACTACCAAAGACATTTTTCCCTCTCCACTCTTATCTGCCTTCTGGAGGGACCACTCTCTCCGGGACTCCCTTGTCCGCTCCACACTCCCCTCCAGCCCCACCACCCCCGGCACTTTTCCCTGCAACCGCAGGAAGTACTACACCTGCCCCTACACTTCCCCCCTCACCCCCATCCCAGGCCCCAAGAAGACTTTCCACATCAAGCAGATGTTCACCTGCACATCTGCTAATGTGGTATATTGTATCCGCTGTTCCCGTTGTGGCCTCCTCTACATCAGGGAAATCAAGCGGAGGCTTGGAGACCGCTTTGTGGAACACCTACGCTCGGTTCACGACAAACGACAAACGACTGCACCTCCCAGTCGCGAACCATTTCAACTCCCCCTCCCATTCCTTGGATGACATGTCCATCCTGGGCCTCCTCCAGTACCACAATGATGCCACCTGAAGGTTGCAGGAACAGCACCTCATATTCCGCTTGGGAACCCTGCAGCCCAATGGTATCAATGTGGACTTCACAAGGTTCAAAATCTCCCCTCCCCCGACCGCATCCCAAAACAAGCCCAGCTCGTCCCCGCCTCCCTAACCTGTCCATCCTTCCTCCCACCTAAAGCCCCACCCCAACCTCCTACCTACCAACCTCATCCCCGCCTCCTTGACCTGTCTGTCTTCCCTGGACTGACCAACCCCCAGCCTAACTCCCCACCTACACTCACCTTTACTGGTTCCATCCCCACCTCTTTGACCTGTCTGTCTCCTCTCCACCTATCTTCTCCTCTATCCATCTTCCATCCGTCTCCCCCTCTCCCTCTCTCTCTATTTATTTCAGAATCCCCTGCCCCTCCCCCATTTCTGAAGAAGGGTCCAGACCCAAATGTCAATTTTCCTGCTCCTCTGATGCTTCTTGGCCTGCTGTGTTTATCCAGCTCTCCACCTTGTTATCTTATATTGAATACTAGCCTTCATTAGTCAAGGCATAGAGTGAAAGAGCAGGGAGGTCATGCTGGAACTGGATAAAACACTGATTAGACCACAACTGGAATACCATCTGCAATTTTGGTCACTTCTTTACAGGAAAGATGTAGTTGCACTGAAGTGCTGAGGAGACTTAACAGGATGCTGTTTGGGCTGCAGGGTCTGAGGCATGAGGAATGAATGAACGGACTGCTGCTCCAAGGAAAACAGCCCCAAATATTAAAGGTGTATACAAGAGAGTGTAGAAGATTATGGGAGCATTAGATAGAAACACTGCCTTCGTACCCAACCTATTAGTAGAGGGGTTAATAACCAGGGGCATAGCTTTGAGATAAGAGGTAGAAAGCCAAGAGAACTGTTCAGGTGAAGTTCTCATTTACATGAGGGTTTCACAGATTCATACAGTACAGAAAAGGCCCTTCAGACCATCCAGTGTTCTAATCCCAATTTCCTAAACTTGTCATATATCCTTGAGTGTTGGGAGTCTGGAATTCACTATAGGAAAGGGTGGTCAAGTCAGACACTGTTGTAACATTTAAGCCGCATTTTACATGTTCACTTGTGTGCTCATAAGCTCCAGCGCAATGGGCCCAAAGCTGGAAAGTGCAGTCAGATCGTTGTTGATGAGCGTGAACATGATAGATCAACAGCCCCTTTCCGTGCTGTTAATGTCTATGACGTTTACACCAAGTCTCACTCTGTGCTTGCTGAATAACATTGCTCAATTGGGAGCCAAAGTCTTGATGTTAAAATTCTCATCCTGCTTTTCAAATCCCTCCATTATATCACTCATGCCCACCTTGCCAATCTTCAACCTCACCACCTCCAGATCTCTGCACTCCTCCTATTTTGGTCTCTCTCTCTAATTTTATAATTGCTCCACGATGAACGTCTCTTCAGCTGCCAAAGTCCAAACATTTTTAGGTATTCCCTCCCTCACTTTCCCTCCTTAAAGACAGTCTATTCAATTTAGCTCCTTGAGGAGTCTCTGATCACCTTTCCTAATAACTTGTGGTTCATGATTCACAAAGTGTTATCAAATAAAATTTGATCATCTTATTACTTTAAAGGCACTGTAGCAATTCAAGTTATTGTCATGATTACAACATGTTTAAACACAGCAATCTGGTCAGGAGTCACACGTGATCATTTCAAGGTTAGATTGATTAGTAGTGCATCAAAAATGTCCTATACATCCTGGTGAAGTCAATATAGTGTGGAGCTGGCGGAACATAGCAGGTCAGACAGCAGCAGGGAAGCAGGAAAGTCAACATTTCAGGTTGTGACACTTCATCAGGACTCAGGGTCCTTACCCAAAACATCGACTCTCCTGCTTCTCTGATGCTGCCTGAGCTGCTGTGTTCCTCCAGCTCCACATTGTATTGACTCTGACTCCAGCATCTGCAGTTCTTGCTATTTCCGACATCCTGGTGAATCCTTGTCCATGTCCCCAGGGTTACTCATTCAGTGTTGCTGAGGTAAGTTCTAGCCCTGAGCTACCCAAGTAACAACTAGTTGCCAAAGAACACCCACAGCAGCTTACTGCTCGGACATCAGGAGCATCCTGTCCAGATCCTGATTTAATGGAGCTCATACAGGGCACCAGCCTATATACAAACCCTCCTTCACTTCTCTGACACACATTCAACCCTTGGGGCAACGACAACCCTGTTTAAGTCTCAATATCAACACCCCTTAAATAGGGTACTAGAGTACCCTCTTCCCCACTCCCCTGCCAGTGTGTTACTCCCCAGCCCCTGTGCTCTGCCAGCTGAGGGCACAAGCTAAAGCTCAACTGAGGAAAATAAAGCTCAATTATAGCGACTGTTAGTCCAGACACAGACTGTGACAGTCGCTCACACTCCAGGCTTCCTATAATTACAGACAGGATAAAAGTAGAAACGAAAAAATAAAACCGCTTTAAACATAGGCACTTGGGAGGAAGCTGAGAGATAATATACAGGACACGAGTTCAGCCAATTCACAAACTTCTAACCCTGTGGGAGACAGCAAATCCAGCAAAGTTATCCTTTCCTGAACAGTTCAACATCAACAGTTTATTCAGTCCTCTGCGTTATCAGTACCTTATAATAGGCCAACTGTAAGTAGTTATAGACGATACGTTTCTGGAACTCATGTGCAACCTCCTCACTGACCCTATACATAGAAGCTGGACCCATTCGCCGTGACTCACACTCCTGGATACAATGAGCTCTTCTTAAGATAACTGCAAAGGACACGAGATTGGGTTCGGCTGCTTCCTGGAGTTTATGCTGCTTCTCACACTGCAGCCGGCACTGTACTTTAATACTCCTGTATTGTGCATAGCTGCGAGTAGCCTCTTCCATGTAGTGAACAACACCTTCCCAATCATTTCTGTAATACGCCTGGATTCCCTCCTCATACAGCAAGTCAAACGGTTTCAGCACTTCCTGACACTGCACAGTGCAGAGGGACAGCGTGATCAGAAATGTTCTCATCATTGTTTCTTTGCCCCTCCACCCATTCACTCCAGAACTGCTGCTGATTCTGTGCAGCTTGTTAAATACACTACTGAGCCCAAACCAAATCAACTCCGAGAAATAGATGCAATTCAGGCCGATTAATCATTTCCAGATGGTAGCTACACAGAGCTCTCAGGCAAGAATCCCTGCCATCTAGATGCAGGAATGTCAGATTCTAACAGTAACCAATCTCCGAAACAGTGAACAAAAGATTTGACAGAGAAATAGGCCAAGGCGGGGAGGGGTGGGGAGGTGTAATGAAGGGAAATATTAAATTAATAGGGCGGAAAGAGAGAGATGGGACACTTGGAGAAGATTTTTTTAAAGGTTTGTGTAAGTGAATGAACGGATGGAGGAATCCGAGTGACAATAAGGGGAAGCTGCTGGAGAAGCATTTAGGAATAAGCCCACATAGGGCAGAGGTGCAGGCTGAAGGCTAAGCTATAGAAAATCATCAAGTAAATCAGGTTTTTTTGGGGTGAGGGTGTTTTATCTGCAATTTCTTTCAATGTAAAGCAGAGGTGAATAACCAAGGGAACAGTTTCAATGTAAGGAAATGGGCCTTAGAGAGGATGTGAGTGAAACAAATTTCACCCAGAAGGTTGTGGGTATCTGGAACTCAGGCTAAAAGTGTATTAGAGAAAGCAACCCTCAAACGACTGAAAAATTATTTAGATAAACACTTGAAATGCCGTCGTGTGCAAGTCTACAGGCCACGTGCCGGAAAATGGGATCAGAATGGATGGGTGTTTGATAACCAGCATAGAGACAATGGGCCAAAGGGCCTCTTCCTTGAGTTATGACTCAAGGACAGACGTCAATCTGTTTAATTTTAAGACATTTTTTCGCAATCTGATGGAGAATTATGGTCTAAAGACTTATCTGCACCATTCCAGTTTTACTGCAATAAGCAGCCTCCAAGGCACTTTCAGGGACAGGGATGACCCACGAATTGTGGAACCCTAACCCCCTACCCGGGCCATATTGGTGTATGTAATCATTCAAAGGCTTCTTAAATGCCTCAATTGAACCTGCCTCCACACATTTCCAGGCAGTATATTCCCAGACCTTAACCACGTGTTGTGTGAAAAAGATTTTCACACATCACATTTACTTTGTTTGCAATCAGTTTATTCCCTCTCATTTTTCATTATTTTATGAGCATAAACAGTTTCTCCCTATCTACTGTATCCTCTATCTAAACTTCTCTCGAATTTCCTCTTACTCTTATCTTTTCAAAGAGAAGTCCAAACCTCTCCAATCTATCCCCATAACTGAAGTTTCATTTCCCTGGAGCCATTCTGGCAAAACTCTTCTGCGTTCTCTCCGATGTGTTCACATTCCTCCTATAATGCGGCACCGAGAACTTTACACAATACTCCAAATGAGATCCGACAAATGTCTTATACGAGCTTACCCTCCTATTCTATCCCCTACTAATAAAGCCAAGGACATTATATATTTTATTAACTGCTCTCTCCACTTCTCCTGCCAACTAGAAAGATATTTGCACATATATACCTGGATCCCTTTGCTCCTGTGCACACTATAGAATTGTAGCCCCTATTTTGTATTGTCTGTCCATGTTCTTCTGAGCAAAATATATCATCTCACGCTTCTCTGCATTGAACTTTATCTGCCACCTTCTGCCTCCTTCTGCCCCCTCCACCAACATATCAATTTTCTTTTGTCCCTCTCACAGTTTACAATTCTGCCAAGTTTTATCTCATCTACAAACTTTGAAATTTTCCCCAGAATACCAAGATCTATATCAGGAAAAGCGAGGGTCCCAATGCCAAACCCTGAGGAACTCCACTACAAACAATTCTCCAGCCTGAAAAATATCCACTATCTAGTCAGTTTGTATTCACATTGCCACTGTCCCTTTCATTCTATGAGCTATAACTTTCCCCACAAATCTGTGGTTATCGAACACCTTCTGGAGGTTTGTGTGCACCACATCAATAGTGTTACCCTCATCGCCCCTTTCTGGTACCTCTTTGAAACTCTTCAGCAAGCTAGTTAAACCCAATTTCCCCTTTAGAAATCTATGCTTGTTCTTCCTAACCAACCCATCTTTTTCTATGTGATTATTAATTCTACCCTAAATAATCATCTCTAGCAGCTTCTCCATCGCTGAAGTTAAACTGGCTAGTCTGTCATTGCTGAACTCATTCTTACAAACATTTTAGTACAAAGGTGTGATGTTTGCAATTTTCCTGTCTCCTCAACCTCCTCTGAGTCTAGGGAAGACTGAAAGAGTACCAGTTCCCCTGCCACTCTTATTCCCTTCAGTGTCTTTGGATACATAGCTCTTATGCTTTGTAGCATTTATTAAACTTTGGGGCTAGGTTTTCTCTTAAATCCTCCTTGTGCTGGTTCACTCTGTTGTGGTGATTCTCAGTGATGCTGGGATGTGATTTCTGAGACAGAGGTGGAAGTTGTCTTCTCAATCTCCTGCCCATCAATAACTCTGATGGTGAAAACATATTCTATAATTGTGAGGATGGATAACAAAATGACAGGATTCAAATCTTTGTTATTCTGCAGTAATGCTCTTATTGTCAGCACCCCTCAATTTATTTGTTTTCTTAAGTATATTGAGGTGGACTAGTAACATGATTGAATTTGTATTCACATGAAAATCCCTTAAAATGTCCATTTGCAAACTGTGGGCCATTGTCTGAAATTAAAATGCCCAGAATGCCATTCATTTATTGGATTCAATTCAATCGTCCTATTACAGCCTCTGGATTGAAGTTGTTTATGCAGTTTACCCCAATTCACTTTGAGTAACAGTCTATAATGATGATAAAGATCTTACCTTTGAATCAAACAAATCCATTCTCGGATGCTTCCGTAATCTTGATGGTAAAGATGATGACAATAGTTATTATTTCTTTCTCTTGGCTATTCACAACACACAATCATTTCCAGTACAGAGTGAAGTCTTCAAGAAATCGACAGGAAAATATAAGGCAGATAAAAATAAACTATTTCCACTGGTTAGGGATTCTAGATCAAGGGGGTATAGTCTGATATTTAGGGCCCTACCATTCAGGATAGATGTTAGGAAGCACTCCTACACAAACGGGTGGCAGAGATTTGGAACTCTCTTCCACAAATGACAGTGGATGCCAGATTAGTTGTTAATTTTAAATCTGAGAAAGATAACTTTTTTTGTTAAGCAAAGATATTAAGTGATATGGGCTAAAGAAAGGTATACGGAGTTAGGCCACACATCAACCATAATCTAATGAATGGTAGAATGGGCTCAAGGGGCTGAATGGCCTACTGCTGTTCCTATGAATGATACCAGGCCACCACATGGGTTGTTGCTTGCCAATTTTGTAATTCGCAAATGGTCCTGAAGGATCTCAAGTCAAACACTAAGAAATCACATTAATAGTGAGATATCTGCACTGTTCAAAGTCCTTGCATAGTATTGCATTATTAGATATATAGTCTGGCTATTCTTTTAGTTAGAATTTCAAGTTTAGATACACCCCACATCCTGTTCTGGTACTTTCTGTATTTCTTGCAACTTCCTCTCACATGCTGACAAGTGTTTATCGACATCTGATCTGTAAACTTCAACCTTTTCAATGAAATCTAAATCTGTTAGTTTTACTCTATTCAATGGCATTGCCAACCATCTGTTAACATTTGGTACATTCCCTACGCATATTCAATAGTGGATCATATCCCATCAGCCTCAGCCTGAATTGTTGAATTATGTTCAGGTCATTGCGATCTTCTTTGTATTCAGAAGAGTGACCAATGGTCATGGTCAGTATCTACCTTGAGCTGTACTCATATGTACCCTGAAAAATTTTTGTCTATCTACATTACTGCTAAGTCCTCTTTCCGAATTGTGGTGTTAGACCAATCTGACTCTATTAGTGATGTAGGGGCATAGTGAACTGATTTACACTTTCTATGTCTTGCAAATGAAAGAGGACTGTCCCCAGTTCTGGTGAAGATGGATCAGCTACTGTTATACCTGGTAGATGTGGATCATGGTGTGGCAGATCCTCTGTAGAGTTCAAGAGTTGTTTGACTTTGTCAAATGCTCTTTGCCAGTTGACAGTCTGACACTATTTTTGACCTCAGTGTAAAAGTTGTTTCAATGATCTCTGCCAGGCCTGGTAAAAACTAACCCACTTAATTCACCACCTCAAAGAATCTTTGAAGTTCTGTGTTGTTCCTAGCTGGTAGAAATTCTTGCAAGGCTTTAGTTTTCTGAGGATCTACTATGGCTCCAGTATTTCAGATATTATGTCCAAAAGAAGCGTTATCTTCAATTTTGCAGACTCATGTTTCTTGTTCAGTGTTAGCCCAGTTGGCTTGATGGCTGCTTTGTGATGCAGAGTGATGCCAACATATAGGTTCGATTCCTGTGCTGGCTGAGATTAACATGAAGGATCTCCTTCTCAACCTTTCACCTGAGATGTGGTGACCCTCAGGTTAAGCCACCATTGGTTGCCTATGTGTCTCATGACAGAGTAGCCCTCTGGTCTGGTAAGACTGTGGTAACTTTAGTCATCACTGTTCAAGTGCTTTGGTCATTCTCCTCTTTTGTAGATCCATATATTAGTATATCTTCCATGTATTGCCCAATGTTATTATGCCATTTATGGCTTCCTAGTTGTTAGGCACAGTGTCTGAAACATTTTTATCACAGACACATTTCTAAATGGTAATCAGGTAAAGCAATAACACCCAAAATATTGTAACTTCCTGGTGTCTTCATGCAGAAGTAGTTTCCAGAATCCACTGTTCACATCCTGTTTGATGAGTAGGGTACTCTTGATAGTTTTGCTAGACTATATTTTATGCCATTTGGCCATCACTAGCGAAGCCAGAATGTTTTGTCCATCCCTAATTGCCCTGGAAAAAGAGGTGGTGAGCTGGCTCCTTGCACCACTGCAGTTCTTACGATCTAGATACACCCAGCCTGTTGAGAGGAAGGGAGTTACAGGATTTTAACACAGCAATAGTGAAGGAACAGCGATATAGTTTCAT